ATTTACGTGACACTATTATTAGTGACCTCGTCTTTAAAATACTTTGGTATTTTATATGATTTTTAATTGAATAATTTCTAAATTGGTGTCTTTATTGTATAACGTACTTACCTGGGAGAAATCCTGCCGTATGAGAATTGTTAAAATGGTAGTGCTAAATATCTAAACTGAAAAGTAAAATGTTGTAATTTCCGACATTATACCACTCAGTGTTTAACCTTGGTGATATATATATAACGGTACTATTATGGTCTGCAGCTGTGTTAACAGGTCAGGAAATGTTTAGCTTATTTCTAAGAGTGACTAATAAAAAAGGGGCGGTGCTTAAACACAAAATGTACATGTCACGATTACAAATAGTACATTCCTTATGAGCACTCGGCCGATATAGGTTTGCTCGAATAACAAGGGTACTTTCGACTCGCAGCTATTAGAAGAACGTTCCTGTTTTCGTTTCCAACAGTTCAAATACATTGCGTTTATCTAATGGTGTTTAACTACGGTAGTCAGTAAGGATCGCATGGAGGTTTTTACGACATAGTCAAGACGTAAATAAAATGCTTCATGTGGCCCCATCTGACTTCCGTATGTTACTGTGATTTAATGCATAGGTAACATTACATATTTGGAGCTCAATTTTCCACAAAATCGACAAACCCACGAAAATTAATGATTTAATACAATTTTTGGTGTCAGGATTGAAACTTCGTTCTGTTGTATTGTATTCTTAAAAACCTCCACATCCCTCATGCATTTGGAGAACATACTGAGGTTTTTATATCTTTTTAAATATTTTTTTAGAAATCATTGAAATAATGTTATTTTGATATAAAAATTTAAACGTTTTAACGTTTTTTCGATGATAGATTTAACGTTAAAAATCATAACTTTATTGTAACGTCAGAATTTAATGTTAATCAATGTTGAAAAAAATGACTTCATATTAATGCTGAAATGACGTTAAAACGATGTTCCTTTTAATGATGATATTAAATCTTGACTTTGTATTTACACAGTATATTTTCTTGTACATCCAGAGCACTGCCTCAGTCATCTTATTCATATCATCCTATCACTGACATAATCTGTATATTCAACTTCACTGACAAAACATCATTATGTTATTAAATAGATATTTTCTTACGAAATGTCGGAAACATACAATGTAAGAGGCATTGAATGATATCAAGTTGTTCCAGATATATTCATATGTTCAGAATTTTCAGCACCAGTGAATGTTGAATGAGGTCATATATATATATATAAGAAAAAACCTAAAGGATATACAGTATTTTGTGTTAAATTGACCCAATGACCTGTATTTAAGGAGAGGTGTAATTTATATTTTTATCTCTAATCGCCCGTGATTGATACAGGTGTGCGTACAATGTACAGTCATACAATTTCGATAAATGGAGTTATGATAACACATTTTAAACACAAAGGTCAATGTTTTTACGGTTGTCTGTCATTTATAGAAACAGAAACATACAGTTCTTTGATAATCATCGTTACCCTCGAACAGACATGTACAACACAATCAGGAACAGTGTTAGTGATATAGAACAACACGTTACAGATATATATAGGACTGTTTAAATACACATAATAGTCGGATTATGAATGCTTGTGAATGTGACAATGTTAGTTATTATATTGAGGAAGAATTTAAATGTGAGAGTAATCTACCAAAAGAATTTATTATGATTTACAATCGGACCATTAGATAAAATAATGCCTTAGATATATATGATAAATAGTTTTTTTTTTAAATCAGTTTGAAAAAATTATTGTACTATAACTTAAACTTCATTTGTCAATTGCATAGTGTGGATCACGAAAGTACGTTTCTGTTGGTAAGTGTTCTGGTGGTTTATGTATGTGAATGTAACCTTATTTGTTACATAGAGATACAGTATTTGTTTGTCTATATACGAGTCATGTACTTGGTTTTATAAAGGTAACGCAACATTCTCATTTACATATGAGAAATGTAGCATTTTGGCTATAAACTGATAATATCACATTTCACTACATACAGTTAATGTAACATTTTGGCTTAATACGGATAATGTAACATTTTGACTATATACAGATAATGGAACACTTTAACTAAATGCAGATAATGTTACATTCCTGTCTTAAAACAGATACTGTTACATTAGTGGCTTTAAACAGATAATTCAACACTCTTGGCTAAATACAGAAAATGTAACATTATTGGCTAAGTACAGGGCAATAGAATGTAACATTCTTGGCTAAGTACAGGGCAATAGAATGTAACATTCTTGGCTATATAGGAATAATATATGTATAATGATTATTTACAAATGATCATATTCGTAAATATTTTTTTCCTACAGGCTGTGGAACTTTTAGAATGAAATAACATTTTGATAATTGATGGCTAAAGTGGTCGTTTAGATATCAAAAGTAAACAAACGAATTTATTGTAACTTTTATCAATCTACTAGTTTAATTGATTTCGTCTTATTTCTTGCAAGAAACAATGCATAAATGATATTCTATTCAAACTTATATTGAACCCATGGAAATCATATTTTCATTGGAAGCCGCATAAGCTGGTACATAACTATGATATACTGTACAAGCTAAAATAAGACATTGTGTAATTACTAGAACGTTCGGAAAGCAATTTGTTATCACATCTATTTAAATGGATTTTTCCTCTAAATATCAATAAGTTACAATGATAATTGATTTATGTTGACATTGTAATGTTATGCCCCACTTCTTGTCAAGAGAAACGATTTTTATAATTGACGCGCCGGAATTCTGTAGAGGAAATTAGATATAATAACTCGTTGTTGTTAAGAAAAATACCATAGAAAAGTCGTTCCGTTTTTACTGAATAATTGGTAGCTCTCTCTATAAAAATTATAGTCAGTTTCCTCACCAACCCTCAAAATCGTACAATTCATCAACAAAAATTCAACGTCATGAGAGTTACATTTACCTTGGCTACGACATATGTATGTATGTATGTATGTGTGTGTGTGTGTGTGTGTGTGTGTGTGTGTGTGTGTGTGTGTGTGTGTGTGTGTGTGTGTGTGTTGGTGTTGGTGGTGGTGTGAGTGGGGGTGGGTGGGAGGGGTGTGTGTGTGCGTGCGTGCGTGCGTGGTGGGAGGGGGTGAGTGGGATGGGGTGGTGTGTGTGTTTGTATGTGTGTGTGTGTGTGTGTGTGTGTGTGTGTGTGCGCGTGGTGGTGGAGGGTGAGTGGGGTGTGTGTGTGTGTGTGTGTGTGTGTGAGGGTGTGTGTGTGTGTTTGTATGTGTGTGTGTTGCTGAGACATTGCTAAATTTCCATACGCACGTTATTGCTTGTAAGAGAAAGAAACTCTGAAGTTGTCCTAGATTTCGTCCATCTTATGCCACTGATGTCGGTTACTATACAAACAAAGAACAAGACTGCCATGTAATGACTCGATAATGTGGAAATTATACGTTCTCTGTGACGGAAAACAAATACTTCCGTTGTTGTATGGCTTCTGTATTGTTAGTGATCGATGTTCCTTGTTTCTTGTGTGATAATGATAAAATACATTTATAACATTCAAAAGTCACTCATTGTTAACAATCCCTGTCGGAACACAGCCTTTAACATAATCGAATTCTCTTAGACTATCTTAGTGACCGTTCAATAACAACGACGAAAAAAATAGAATTTTATTCAAAATAGAAACTCCGTGGAACTATGCCAATAGGAACACGGGCCATATTTACATAGAGACCCTGGAAAAGTCAAATAAGACCAGGCCCCACTTGTATAAAACATCTCAACTTGAGATTTCCTCAAGTCGAGATTTTCCTCAGCTGATATTTCCTCGAAAACGGCTTGTATAAAATTTTCTCAGGGAACAGGAGGAAGTCATCGGCTATGATGTCCTGAAATTCCTTAAGGAATTTTCATTCAAGATATTTTCAAGGAGATATTTGCTGAGGAAAATATGGGCTTGGGGAAATCTTAAATTGAGATATTTTATACAAGTAGGGCCAGGTGTTCTGGCAGGGTGAGCTATTTCATCTTTATCGACCACACCCGTCGTGAAAATCATCTTAATCAATCTCAGAAGTAATATTACATATACGTTCTAGTTAAAACGGAACCAACAAACAAACTAACGAGTATCAAACACATCCAACATCATATCGCACAAATCTTTGTGAGGTCATTATGACGACCGTATTACTTTAACGCATCTCTTGAAACCCTGTGTTGTAATTTTCTGTCAGTAACCGACTCTGGTGGGTATATACAATGAATATGGTTAATACATTTCTTGTTATTAAAGGCAAGACGTCATTAATATATTTGATAGTGAAATTGAAGGACTTCGCAAGATCTTTGTAACCTATTTTGATATTTTCGATAAATTGGAAACGCCATCCTGATATCAGTGGCTCAGAGAAAACAAATTGTATCGTCGGTGTCACTTCCAGCTGTATTGTCTGTCGTTTATAGCTGTGTATTTCATTTTACTTTCCAACACCACAGTCTTTTCGAGAAGCATAGCAAGGTGTCGCCTATCAGATGACATATACAACACAAAGTCAGCTGAGGATTCCTTGAGAAGTCGTCGTCATGTTCTCTTTAACAAATATCATATTATGATATATACATGTTGACGTACTTCGTTTTGTTTGTTAATGTAATGTCCATTGCGACATCATGGGTGTTGTCGGTGAATCTGAAGTCACTAACCCTTCCGGAACGTCTTGTTCTCCTTACATCTTAATCTGTAATCACAAGAGTAAAACATCTCATCACGATTACTTGCGTGCATAAAAAACATGTAAACTGTTTGTATTCTGTTCTACCATTTACAAGTGTAAACGCTATCGTGCAACGTGAATATTGCAGAAGGTTCTGCCATAAAGAATATTGTGATTATAACCCTTCCGTTTACATTCATGTCTAATCGACCAACACTGTGTTGTTTTACAGAATGAGACATCCCACTTAAAGGACCGAACGGCACAATGTACTACCGTAATGGAGAAAGGTCGGACACGTGTCCACGAGTATTACAGAAGCGATCTCAGTCAGCACGTGAAACCTACCACCCGTCAATCACAGACCTCAGCGAGCAGGCACTTAGGCTCTCTAACGGCTTCGGCTCAGGTAAACATTGCAAAGGTTCAATGAATCCTGTGTTACGTTGTATGAATATGACCGTGTATCTGGTCAGTTTGACCCCAATTAGACCCATACCCTGTATACTATATGCCAATATGCTATTTAGTACACCTGTCGACGGCTTAGGCTGACATGCTCGTAGAAAACCCAGGTATAGCCATGCTGTCATGTTGTACCGTAGAACAAGTTTATATAGAATAAACCAGTTCTGTTATATATTATATATTATTATATTATAGTTGTGTCTTTTACACGTGTTCAATTGTCTGATGTAGGTGACCGTGTAGTCATTGAGACATCACACTCTAATCTTTTACTGGATGTGTTATAAAACGAAGGTGACCGTGTAGTCATCGAAACGTCACACTCTAATCTTCTACTGGTTGTGTTATAAGATGAAGGTGACCGTGTAGTCATCGAAACGTCACACTCTAATCTTCTACTGGTTGTGTTATAAGATGAAGGTGACCGTGTAGTCATCACTACGTCACAATCTAATCTTTTACTGGTTGTGTTATAAGATGAAGGTGACTGTGTAATCATCGAAACATCACACTCTAATCTTCTACTGGTTGAGTTATAAGATGAAGGTGACTGTGTAATCATCGAAACATCACACTCTAATTTTCTACTGGTTGTGTTATAAGATGAAGGTGACTGTGTAGTCATCGAAACGTCACACTCTAATCTTCTACTGGTTGTGCTATCAGATGAAGGTGACTGTGTAATCATCGAAACATCACACTCAATTTTTTTACTGGTTGTGGTATAAGATGAAGGTGACTGTGTAATCATCGAAACATCGCACTCTAATCTTCTACTGATTGTGTTATAAGATGAAGGTGACCGTGTAGTCATCGAAACATCACACTCTAATCTTCTACTGGTTGTGTTATAAGAACTTCCATTCTATTGCAATTACCAATCTGAAGAAAATGTTCTAAGACATGGACTTTTGTTCTAGTAGATTTCAGGAGTAAGATTCATGCACGAACTTTGATCCTACTCAAAACAATATCATAAAAATTTAATCATTTTACCAACTTCTTATCAAGTATTTTAATCATATAAAATAATTTAGTATATAAAATGAGTAGGTGGCACGATCATATAATAAAATAAATACATTTTGTACCAGTTCAATTTGGGAATATTATAAACCATCAATGTGACTTACAATAAAATCGAATAATTTTGATTTATTATTGAATTTGAGTTTATTTTTTTTCAGATGAAGAGACAAGTATTTACCCTTTAACTAATGGGCACTTCGGCGACAAGCCAGTTAGACTGGATCTGACGAATGAAGATTTAAGCTCGAGAGGAGATGATATCACTAATGGGAAAGTCTCGGACATAAATGGTGGGAATCACGTGAACGACAGGTCATCATCTCGACCACCTAGTATTCGTATACAATGTATGAGGCTCCCGAAGGTTCCCGATGGTAGTTACAGAGAAAGGGTTTGTTTGTCCGCCAATAATCGGTATAAGATCGGTGCCTATTACCGACGCCCGCGCAGTGTTGAAATAGGGCGACTCTCGTCAGCTCGATCGCCTCGTTCTATTCCGAGTGGATGTTCAGACTCTGACATGGAAAATAACAACTTTGTACCACCAAATTTTATAATAAGAAACTCATGTTCGACTTCTCCAAATAATGTCAAGTCGGTCTCCAACTCAAAGTAAGTATTGTACAATGTCACTTATCGTTTTGGATGATGGTGACACGATGTGTACATGAAATAATTCGTAAAATTTGCAAATGAATCGAATGTCACGACTTTATAGTTGCCAAGTGTTACTGTATAATTTAGACTTTATTTAACGATTTTGATTTGTTGTCAGGAAAAACATGGATGACAATCAACAGCGACCACAAAACAAGGGGAGACAACTAGGAACTCAAATGTCTGACGGTTGTGAAGAAAAAGTCAATGGATTTCACCAACATCTGGTTAATAAACATCCCCTCCTGAAACAAAGAATATCTCGTTGGTTGACAAACGGTTTCAAAATTCAAAGCTTAAGATCAAAGAGTGTTCGAAATTTACCGGGTGATCGCCGACCGTCTTCCGAACGGCATTCATGGAGCCGAGGATCTCGAAGGAAGTTTTCGGAACACAATCTAGTTGAAGAAATGAGGAAAATAAAATTGCGTCAGCAGAACATTACAAATGATGTCGAACCTTGTGATCAAAATGACTGGGCATTGACATCATCATTAACAATCACAAACCTGTCTAGGGAACCAAGTATTAGTTCACAAAGAACCATTTCTCTCACAAACTCACATGAATGAAATAGCATTTAATATTTATTTGGCAAACGGGAACCCTTAGCGGTCTCCTTCCGTCCATTTTCAAAATGTGTTTGTAAGTTGTGAGATATTTTTATAGATAAGTAACGCTATAAATCAGCCATTAAGACCACCAATATACTGACAATTTGGTTAAACAATATACTACAACGATAAGCATACTGACGGACACGTGACCAAAGTACTACAATGATAAACATACTGACGAACACGTGACCAAAGTACTACAATGATAAACATACTGACGAACACGTGACCAAAGTACTACAATGATAAACATACTGACGAACACGTGACCAAAGTACTACAATGATAGACATACTGACGAACACGTGACCAAAGTACTACAATGATAGACATACTGACGAACACGTGACCAAAGTACTACAATGATAAACATACTGACGAACACGTGACCAAAGTACTACAATGATAAACATACTGACGAACACGTGACCAAAGTACTACAATAATGAACAAACTGACGAACACGTGACCAAAGTACTACAATGATAGACATACTGACGGACACGTGACCAAAGTACTACAATGATAGACATACTGACGAACACGTGACCAAAGTACTACAATGATAGACATACTGACGGACACGTGACCAAAGTACTACAATGATAAACATACTGACGGACACGTGACCAAAGTACTCCAATGATAAACATACTGACAGACACGTGACCAAAGTACTACAATGATAAACATACTGACGGACACGTGACTAAAGTACCACTAAAATGCCAAAATGGCGGTCACATAACTAAGGCAACATGTAGGTGGTTTTTCTGACATTCACACAACATTCATGTCATGAAGATGCTTCATTCACGAGGACAGTCATATTGACGGTCACGTGATGAAGATATCTCATTAGATGGACAAAGTCATGGACAAGTAACCAAAGTATGAGATAGATAACCTTACTTACACTTATGTAATCAAGGTATCAAGGTTACACTGTAGAATACATAACACGATGATTTTGTGTTGTTAAATATACGCACTCCACACTTGTACTAGTGTTTTCGATGATTGAAACTGTCCTGGTTTAACCGAAACCTTGGTGCAAAAACGAAATCTGCTAAATTTAGTAAAAGGTATTCTGTATCAATGTTAAAGGTGTCTGTTTTCTCTACGTTATTCCGTTCTCGAAAATAGCCGAACTAGTTAGCCAAGAGAATATCATTATTTATAGTATCATATGTATGAGGTTTACAGTTGTATCGTAACAGCCTCAAAAAATATGATAATGTACCTGTTTTTACCGACAGTGGATAACTTACAAAGTCTTAACAGATACTACATCTATGATAACGAATCATTGAAGACATCAACATCAAATGTGCAGATTTTATCATCGTTATACATGTTGTGCTTAATTTGGTAGCTTAGTGCTTTAGCTATGTAATCTCCCACATTTATCACTTTATCTTCACAACAAGTTTAAGTCTGATTCGATTCCAGCTGTGTTTTGAAAAAAAATGTCAAGCCACTATTTCCCTATTTTGCTGAATGTCCATACATATGCTTTATAAAAGGTAGTCCTACTGTTTTCGGTATTGTTTTCTCTCTGCTAGCTAGTTTTAGATTGGAACACCAGGATTGATATCACCAATTTACAATAAACTTCATCATTTACCAGCCAGGTTGGTAAGTTTGATACGATAAATATGTTTAATTGTTTTCCAATAAGGTTAGCTAGCAAGTGTTTCAATATAGCGACGGCTTCTCTTGTCTTAATGTCATTTACTAAAATGAAATAAGATATTCTGAACTTCTACCATCAAATAATGAATCTGTCTATGTTGAGCTTTTAGTTGGTTTTTACAAAATTAACGTCGTAAGAACCGCCACACAAATACACCGAAACTAGTAACCCTGAATTGACGATTCTATGAATATCCTGTCAAAACTTAATTGTCATTGTGTACCTTCAATGCTATCCTTGGACCTACACGAGACACTGAATACACTATGGTGAGGCGCTGTTTCACCTACAAACGTTATTGTTGCTTTCCGACTTGTTATATGTCAGCGTATTAAGTAATGTGAAGCATTGCCGTTTATTTGTGTAATATTTAATTTATCAATATTCTGTATACATTTTTAGTCAATATGTATATATAGAAATTTTATTTGGTACATTATCGAGAAGTGGGATGTAATTTATGTGTAATCCGTCCTCGTGGTGATGATACAATGTCACTTAAACCACGGATATCGTGTATTGTTTGTATCACACACATAGCGATGACTTTCTTTACAAAGCAGTATTGGTTAAGTACATATCACATGAATGAAGTCATGGATATATTCTTTACAGATCAACTACACAAACGTGTCCTTGTGATGGCAGGCATGACGACGACAGTTTCTGTACAAAATACAATATTTATGTATCCTCGAAATTAAACAAAAATAAAATCATTCGTCGTGTTCGATATTTGTGTTCCCTTTTGTCCTACAATACAATTAGATAGTTTGGAATGTCAGATTTAGGATACGTCTTCAGTGAGAAAAAAACTCACCAAGAACATCTGTATTTATAACCAGTTTGAGTTGTCTCCCTTCATTTGTATTTATTTTCATTCAGTATACATTTAACTACTCATATTTATTCATAACAGTTTGGTAAAAGTTGTATATGATTGTTATGACACCCATGTAACAGATTGGTGTATGAGGTGATGTTATATACCATGATTTGTCGTCATGGAAACTTAATGACGTTATAACTCGGACAATAAATCTAGGACTTAAATGGCTTCAGTATGGAGTTTTCTTCCTTCATCGGAAATAGCTGATATCGCCATCAATATCTAAAGATATATTACAAACAAAACGATTTTTATTCATTTTTTTATCAATTTAATCATACAAGACATGCATACAATAAATTCAGATTAAAACTGAGTTGATGAAAGATTCTATGCCCTGCTAAATACAATTAATGGATTTTATGTGTAATTTGAATGTATTTCATTTAGTATGCTGTGAGCATACTTGATTTGGCACAATCAAATTTTAGCACAATACCAATTTTTAACAATAAAATACAATAATAAATTAGCAATATTTTTTACTTGAAACTGAAACATGAAAATCATATCTTATCGCAATATCTTTATCCCAAAAAGCGCCGAAATAAGATAACCGCGAAATCATGTGGGTTTACAGTATGTCGCGGTCTTGCAAATCATAACTTATCGCAATATCTTTAGCCTGAACAGCGCTGAAATAAGATAACCGCGAAACTATGTGGGTTTACAGTATGTCGCGGTCTTGCAAATCATAACTTATCGCAATATCTTTATCCCAAAAAGCGCCGAAATAAGATAACCGCGAAATCATGTGGGTTTACAGTATGTCGCGGTCTTGCAAAGACTTCGCGGTATATAAAAATGGGAGTACGACCAAAATGCAATATTCAATTGAACGCTTGTACCAATCAAGTCAACGATTGGGGAAACGTTAAATATGTAACCGTTTCTAAACATTTTCATGTTAACAGTATGAATGTTTGTGTCATGAACGTTCCGTTTTCTGAACAGTATTGACTTTTTTTTATTAAGAACGGTCAATACATTGTGTGCAGTGGACGAAACCTATAATAAACATGGCCTAATGCTTATCACAGCCACTTTAAGTTGTATACATACCGGAATAGATTTTGTCTCATTGCTATAGGATCTAAATTATTCAACACATTTTTTTTCACACAAACTATCGTACCACTTTTTAGAAGTCCAGCCTTACTGCCTGACATATTGCCTTGCGTTGCACTAAGAATCCATCAAGTTGTCAGATTAATTATTCATACGAGATATAAACCAGGCAGAACTGGCCCACTGACCTAAACAAAGGACGCTGGGGTCTACCGCCGGGTACGCGACCTTCCAATCCCAATGGGCTGTAGGATCAATCCCCAAGTGTTCCCACGACTTAAATATAACTACAGTTTACATTGGTAGATTCTGTCAATTTTGATGAGACATACGATTGCAATAAAACCCATCACCCATCCTCATTAGGATTAAACATTTAGATAAAAAGAATTTGTGTGTACTGTGGAATAATGAACGGACGACATTAATCTGTCAATACTAGCATGTTGGTACATACAAAGGGACCAACAGGGCCGACTTACAACTCCTCTCTATAATTATCACTATTATTTACTTCCTATGTCTTATCCCTGCTGTCCAAGCTGTCTACATGTCGATGTTAATTCAGACCAAGTAGAACCATTTCCGTGACAGATGTTGATAGCTGACAGGGAACAACAAGATCTCGGTGGAATAGTGTTTGCTGTCACTTGCAGTTGCTGTTGCTGCTACTACCACCACTATGGTTTTGAGAACGTCACATCTCGTGTATCTGCGCCTGCTGAAATATTTGATAGAACCCTCCTTCCTCCTGTTTTAGGACCAGCGAGTAAACGTTTCAATGTTTATAATCTTTCCCTTGAGTCTTAGTTAGAATTGCGATTTCCATCCCGATTATTGTCTTGGGAAAGCATAGATACAGACATAGTTCCGTCTAAGAAATTTATATATCTGGATATAGATTCTCACACACTACATCAGACAGTGTGTGTTATTAACTGATGAGAGGAAATACTAACAAAAAGGCATGTCTCAAGCCATATAGCTACTGGAGACACCAGGCAGTCAGCAAACATCACAGAAAACAAAACAACCGGGACAAATGTACCATAAAACAAACCAAATAACAACAACAGAGAAACAACAAGAAATACTGGCATGTTAAAAATCTCAATACCAATAATAAGAAACTTTCAAAGCAAAACGACATCACCATCTGGAACACACTGAGCATCAAAACAAACCGACATCACCATCTGGAACACACTGAGCATCAAAACAAACCGACATCACCATCTGGAACACAGGAGCATCAAAACAAACCGACATCACCATCTGGAACACACAGAGCATCAACACAAA